AAAATATTCGGCAGTACAGTAACAATCACCTGTATGAAATATTCAACCCTCTGTCAAACACTTCTTTTGAACTTTATAGGCAAATAATGAACAATCTTCACAATATCAAACTAGTACCACTAGAAATAGCCACCTGTCTTGTATCACGTAATGCAACGATTTGATTGGATTGTACGTCAGCAGCTACAGACACTCCCCGACAGACTGGTTAAGTTATGGGCTTACTGTTTACATATTTTCTGTCGAGGGCTCTGAATGGCTGTTGTTTCTAACGAACAATCAATCAGATAGCCGCAATTACAATCTTCAGTTCAAAATAATAAGGTCTTCTGTTTCAATCGATGAACTAGATAATTTTAACAGCGTGATATGAATATTCAACAGGCAATATACCAGGGCACAATCCATTTAAAAATATTAAATAGCATGTTTTCTCTTATCGTTCAATAAAATATATCAACCCACGTTTTCACTGATCTTCTATATAGACCCACTTAAATCACAGCCATCCAAAAAGCTCAATAATCGAGCCAATATGATGTTTAATGCTAATCTGTTGATGGCAGTTGTCATGTTATGGACTGGATCCTTAAAACTTGCCAGTGCTCTACCCCAATCCAATAATATTTTGGAAAAATCTGGTAAGATTAAGTAATTTATAATATATCTTATTGTTTATTGTTTTTTCAAATGGAACATATTTTCGAGTTGCTTCTCAGAGTCGAAAATCACTCGGTTCCCTTCTTTCTAGACCCGAATCGCTGCACCTAAGCATCTTGAGCCAGCGTCTTCATTTTCAATCATTGGTAGCGTCTGTTATATGGTATGCATGTGAAGTGGGGCACTTTGGATAGTAAACCATTGGAATGTATACAAATGATTTTACTTTAATCACTTAGTTTGCGAACGTAAACAAAACGAAAGCAGCGTGTCATTGCATATTTTAATGATTATGTAGCCTACGGTACAGAATTGAGTAAGATTTTTGTCGAAGCCGAGAGAAATAAAACCTTACATTAGAATATTTACTAGTGTAGTGGGTTTAGTATAATACGGATTATTAACAACATGTCGAAACCCGCATTCGTGATACGATGTGGTGTTGCATACCATGAATTTAGACACAGGTGTTACTTATGTAATAAGTTTTCCACGAATATTATATCTACTAAGGATATTGGTATGGCAACATTTTTATTCAAGGTAAAGATTGTTGATTGATAAATCTAGAATTTAAATTTTTACTGTTTCAATCATTAATTGTCGAAGTTGACCCACCATTGACCAGCGGTCAAGCATTCTTTTATGTATAACGCATCAATCCCTTAAAATCTTTATAATTTTTTATATTAATTGAAATTTAATCTTCAAAATAGAACTGGTTGTTAAGAAAGATTTTAAATCGACTATAAATAAATATAACTATATAAGAAATGACCTTTCACAATGGGTATCAATTTGGTAAATGTTCGATTGAAATTTCTCGGAGGCCAGTTTGGTAATATTAAAACAAACTTATAAAATTGTCCTCAGGTAAAAAGCAACACAGTACGAAATGTTTTAGACACTTGATTAATGTCGATTTTTTTTAAATTTGGGTATGTAGTAACGTAAAGTATTAACTTAATTTCAGAGCCTTTTACAAAGAACATAGCTTTGAATAAACCTACTAGTATGAGCAGTGTGAACCATAAATACGTGGCATGTAAAGGTGTTGACGGAAAGTTGACTGGTTTTGCTCACACCAAGAATTCTGACACAGAATGGTGGTGTGTTGATTTAGAGAAAGTATACGACTTTCAATCCGTCGTTCTATACAACAGACGGAGTAAAAACCAAGGTAAGTATATTTATGTCAACCAAGAGAAACAATCACAATCATATGCATGTCTAAAGTGATTGTAAAGAGTTTTTCTAGCTTTTTTATTTGTATTTTTTAATT